TGATGTTTGTTTAGGGGTTTGGACTTGCTGATCCGTATTGGTCCCTTCCAGTTCAAGATCTTCTGTGATGCTGTCATGGAATTCTGCAAGAGAAACTGTGCATGGTAAAACACACTGTGCACAAATCAATACAAGAAGTCCATGCTGACTCAGCATTGCTGACTCAGCAGTGGTGACTCACCTGTGAATCCCAGTGGAATCAGTGGGAGCTGCTGTATCTTATAGCACCCAGAAAAATGTGTCCCAGTGTAAACAGTCTGCAGAGAGGGAAGTAGGTTTTGTGGGTTTTTTCCATTCCTCAATGTCTGTTATAGTAATCAGTATTTTTAATACTAGTAGATACTGAGTACTTACATGATTTTTTAAAATTGGTAGACTTCCTTTTGAGCATAAAGTTTTACAGGAATTTAGGTCGCTTGATACACTGGAGTTGTTGAGGATTTTCTGCAGGACTATGGTCATGTAGACTCTTTGAACCTGAGCAACCCTGGCTTTGGCCTAGAGCAAATAGGGCACTACAGGGCATAGAAGAGAATGAACAATGCAGAGAAGAGAAGAAACAATGTTTAAGTAAGAAGCGCTGAAGGTCTTGGGAATGAAGAACTGTGAACACTCTCAGGCTCACAAGACAGCTGCCCCTGACCAAGCAGAAACTGCAAGTTGCTACATGAACAAAGCTTGCTTTAGCAAATAATCTTAGCTAGGAACCAATCATAATCGATCACATATGTGCCGGGCATTTAACAAGTGTATAAAAAGGCATGTAACCCTGCAATAAATCGGCTCACATAGATCATATTGATCATGGCGTGAAGTCCGTTATTAAATCCCTCACAACATGGAGTAAATTTTCTTTTGACTGTTTTCTCAGTTAGGTGGAGCAGCGCTTGGGCTAATTGGTCCTCTGATGACATTCACATATGGTACAGATCTGTGCTTGAAGGTATGCTAGCTTGCTGACCCTGTTTCAGTGTAAGAAAAGTTCCGTGCTAATACTGGAGCAGAGCAAAGGCTTATAAGATTGCAATTACCTTTGTTATGAAGAATGTTGCTACTAATTTGTTTAATTTTTTTTTTCTGTATTGCTGCAGGCCACAGGCATCCAAAAATAAGGTAAGAAGCTGTTTAATTGAATTCTGCTTTGTCAAAGATTGCTAATAAATATATTTTCAAGATTATTAGATATAATCTTTCCAGTTTAGTGTAAGAACTCTCTGAAATTTCATGTCTCAAAAAGTCACAGTGTTCCTGTTGAATTGCAAAGTTACAGGAAATACTATCATATTTTACAGCTAGTAGCTGCAGAAAATGCATGGGAAAACAGTTGTTTGCTTCAGTTAATGGAATCAAAAAATCTAAAGGAAAGAGAAGCTTCTGCTTTTAAATCAGGTATGTGTGTGTGTATGTAAATCTAGCGTGCATCAAAAAAAAAATCTTTTAAAGCAGCTTACATAAACTACAAAATCATGTGAAACTAGAGATACAATACATAATTTGTATGTATAAAGTATAAGGTAAACAATTTGATGACAATTATTCTGAGTTGTGGAAATTCACTATAGTTAACAGTATTAGTAACTATTTTGAGACACGTTTTTCTGTAGCAGCACAGAAAATCAGGAAACTTTTGGAGAGTCCTGAAGAGAAAAACATTCGTCGTTTCTTTTATTTTTTTTCAGTAGATGCTTGTATTTCAGCTTCATTTTCCTCCTCCTGCCTTGGGGCAATTGCTGTTTTGTTGAAGTAATTTGTTAGAATCAATGGATTTTTACGAAACGTGTATGAATTAATTAATTGTCAAAAAGGAGACAGAGCAGGAAAGAACATTGGTAGACTACCAGGCTGTGCTTCCTCTCTCCTCTCTTTGAGCAAAATGCTCCTTTTTTTTCCACGTTCTAGTTCTCAAAATCGGCCTAAACTGGGTACCTGTCCTCAAAACCAGCTAGTATTTCTCACAAGATGAGGCTTGGCCTAAGTGACGTCAGAAGGTCCCTTTCCACCTAAGGGTGTATCAGCCAGGATGTTCAGGAGAATCGGGAGTTAACTACGATGGAGTCGCAGTTCTCCACGTATGTGGATCCTCATCTTCATCCTCTTTTACCAGGACCCCTATAATGCCTTTTCTGTCTTTGTTCTTGTAACTCGACACAAAACATTGAAAACACCACACAAACATGTTCTACAGCTCAGAAAGCAGATCAAAAGAACCCAATGTGGGTTGGTTTTTTTTTTTTGATGGTTGGAAATTCCCATGGAAAAAATTAGGCGTTTACAACTTTTCAATTGTTTTTATTCCAAGTGGGAGCAAAAGCTTTCTGGAGAGCAGAATTTCTGAACGTTTGAAACTTCGGAATTAAAGAGGATTTTGTGTCAGTGTTAAATTAATGCAGTACAACGTCTAGACGTACTAAACTTAATGGGAAAGTAATTAATGGTGTAAATTGATATTTTTCATGCCTTTCTCTTGATGTAACTCTTGTCAAAACATCATCAAAATCTTTGGGTTCCTGTGAAATGTTTGTAAATTAATAAAGCGGTGTCAGCCAATAGAAAGCAGTTCTACTGAGAATTTTCCTGCAGTGCTAAACACTTTTTTTCAGTACAAAGATCTGAACGTTTCAAGCCTAACCCAAGTTTAAATGCTTAAGATTTGCAGAAGATGATTAGCACATTGTTGAGGAAGCAATGACTTCTCACCCTGACAGGTCCCATCATCTGTTAGGGCAGTGTGTGGTCAATTAGCTACCACTGCCCCTTGCTGAGTCAAGGCGTTAGCGGCATGGGGCTGAATGATTTGGTTGCAGTTCGAAGGTTTTGGGTAGGGAAGGGATTGCTATGAACTAATACAGAAATTGGACGAAGATGATCCATAACTCTTAATTTGTAAACACCGCTCAGTGCTGCGCAAAAAAAACCACTTTCAAGTGAGTGATCCAGCTCAGGGCTAGAAGCAGTATGGCCATTTGGGGCTGGTTCTTGATTCTGCCTGAACCCCAGCAGAATCCTATATTATTATAGCCATACAGTTCCTAATATTTAAATTAACCTGTTAAGCATTAGTCTAAATGCATGGGCCTCCTCACTGAAAACTTAGAATGCCTGTCTTCTGCTTTTTGGGGAGGCTTTTTACTTCTTGTTTTTCATGATGCAGAGAAATGTGTAAAATTGTTCTCCTTCTCTTAGAAATGTATCTGCCAATCTGCAGGAGAACTATTTAACTCGCTTAGCTGCTGGTAGAAGTCTGACAGTAAGAGAGGAAAAGGATATTCTCAAGTGGTTTGGATTATATTTGATATAGAATCATAGAATCACTAGGTTGGAAAAGCCCTTAGAGATCTTCCAGTCCAACCGTATCTGTCCACCACTAAACCATATCTTTCAGCACCTCATCCACCCGTCTCTTAAACACATCCAGGGATGGTGACTCCCCCCCCTCCCTGGGCAGCCTGTTCCAGTGCGTGATAACCCTTTCGGTGAAGAACTTCTTCTTCACATCCAATCTAAACCTCACCTGGCACAGCTTGAGTCCATTCCCCCTCGTCCGATCACCTGTCATTAGGGAGAAGAGACCAACACTCACTTCTGCACAACCTCCTTTCAGGTAGTTGTAGGCAGTGATCAGGTCTCCTCTCAGCCTCCTCTTCTCCAGGCTAAACAAGCCCAGTTCCCTCAGTCGCTCCTCCTAAGACATATTCTCCAGACCCTTCACCAGTTTTGTGGCCCTTCTCTGGACACGCTCCAGGACCTCAATGTCTTTCTTGTAGTGAGGGGCCCAAAACTGAACACAGTACTCGAGGTGCGGCCTCACCAGTGCCGAGTGCAGGGGGAGAATCACATCCCTGGACCTGCTGGCCACGCTGTTTTTGATACAAGCCAAGATGCCGTTGGCCGCCTTGGCCACCTGGGCACGCTGCTGGCTCATGTTCAGTTTTTATCAGTTTCTGACTGAAAGCCTTAATAGCCTCAGTGTTAAGTAAGGATAATCAAATCCATGTGTTTCATGAAACCTTTTCTAATGAAATTATTAATTTCATAAAAAACCCTTAGTATAGGTTTGCCATGTGTACATACAGACCTGTTTCCAAGGTGGGGAGAAACTGGTTATACTCTGTTTACTTTTAGGTCATGTGGGATTTGGTTCTAAACAGGGAGCGGGACAAAGTTGGAGAAGTATGACTTCTCCACTGGTAGAATGCTGTAGGTCAGTACTCTCTCTGCTAGGCTGTCTTGGATTAACAGGATAAAAAAAGTGGTGGCTACAGGTTTCTGTGATGAGCAAAGCAAGTGTCAATTGTAAAGTAACTCTAGGGAAGAAAATAAAAATGTTAAATTGCTATAAGTGCTTTCATTGCCAGAAAACTTTCAGTAGGCACTTTGTTGTATCTCTGGCAGATCAAAATTACTGCCACATTGGTTGGTACGTCTTCATTTAACTTCGTAGGTGAAAGCATCTTTTCAAATTAAGTTTTCAAGTGTATATCTTTACCTTGTCTTGAGTCTGTAGTGGGCATGGTTTTGAAGTAGGTTTAAAGGAAATACGTGGAATCTAACACTGACCATTACATCTCAGTTCCTGTATGTCTGTAGTTAGATAACAATGCTGGGATCATTTATTACTTTCTTAGGAACAGAGCCCTGAGCTCAAGGGCCACCTTTCACTGTAAAGAATTTAATTTATGAATCCATTTAATCTTTGTTGCAATTGGGCTGACAGCAAAGATGCCTGTTGTAATGTGGAGGTATCCACTAGAAAAAACTGACAGATGGTAACAAAATCTTATACCAATAATCCAGGCTGTGTTTGAACTCGTAACCTATACGTGAAGGGCTCAGTGTCCCATTACAAATCCCTTGAGCTATCTACTCAGATGTGTCTAATTTTCAAAAAGTCCCTGTCTCATACTCATTTTTTCTTTCAGTGTGTTACAGAAGTTACACTTCCCATACCCCTTCTGTCTGCTGATGTCGTTCTGGGGTATTATTCCTGCATTTTGATATGATTGGATATTTTCTTTTTCAATTTCCTGGCCTTTCATTTTTATGCTACCTTGTATTTAATTTTCCTTAAAAGTTTAGACTTTAACAGAATTGTTCAATACAATGAATTAATGCAAACATTTTTTTGAAGACTAATGAGTGTGACCCTGTTTCATGTAACAAGTTCAGGAAATTGCTCAGATTTTAAGTGGGGTTTTAACAGGTGAGGAAGAAGATTGTCATACAGATCTTCAGTCATTCTTGGGAGAACATATCCAGTTAATAAGGGCATTGTTTGATCTCTCTGTTAAGCTATTCAGAAGACCTTTCTGCTTTTCACTATGACCAAAAAAATGCAAATGAGTGTTTTCTAGAAGCATTAATTTGTTGTGTGAGGTTTTGCTATTACTGTAACAGTAGTCCTACTGTAACATAGTCTTGACTTAGTTTTTCTTAAAGTATGGAATAAAAGACAACCTCTGTCATAGCTACCTTGATTTGGTATTCTAATTCTAAACACCCCCATTCTCTCTTCATAAACCTCCAAGGGGAGATTTGCTTTGAGCTTCGCATAACAGCTAATGTCTTGTAATTTTATTGACAGCTTGGGCTAACTATCTACTCCTCCATAGCAGATCATGCCAGTCATGGGTGAATTCAGAGTGTGGAATTCCCCTTGTTTCACTCTGAAATTTCAGTTAAGAAAAATCAGTTTTCATTTGTATTGTAAAAGTTACAGAAAGAAGCTGCATCCAATTGCATTTTTTGTATGTAAATGAAGTTATATATCCAAAAAGCAACATATTTTTATGCAGTCTGTTACGTAAAATATTGTAAGTGAATATTTAATGTAGCGTTAACTAAGGAGCTAGTTAGCCACTTAAAAGAATTGAATTTAAAATTTATTAAATCAGTATGATCTCAGCCTCTTTAAAGGAAATGCAGGAATCTCCCTATGTGATCAATAGGCTAGCATCAAAATACAGTTTTCTCTACTTGAGCGCATTTGCCTGAACTCCAGGCCTCCATGAGATGCACTCACATAAAATAAGCTTTAGAAGAAATGTGGCCGTTCAGAAAGGTACTTCCAACACAAGATGTATGGAAGTGTAGGAGTAACTCTTCAGGAGGGCACTAAAGCAGGTGCTTTGCCTGCAAGAATGTGTGCAAATACTTTGTGAACCCCGAGTCAGCTTTTCAGGTTACTAACAAAACTTATAGGCTGACCGGAGCATAAAATACCTGCCCTTTATGGGAGGGCATGTTAAAGCATTAGGTTACAATGTTATCAAATCACAGTATACTCTTATTGAATCATTTAAAAACACTGGGACTGTTTTTCCTGTTGTGCTTAGGTACTGAAGCTTGTCCTGGCGTTGGACCAAAGAAAGAGGATAAACAGGTGAGCACTAGTTCTCCAGGTGAAAACAAAACTGAGGTGCAGACAGAGGCAGCAAGCCTCTGGGTAGCTGCAGGAAAGGACCACATGGAGGAGCAGCACTGCAGTGGTGATTCGACACTGGAGCCACACACCCAGTCCACAGGGACGGTGGGCAGGCCTTCTTCGGGCTGTTTATCATCTGGGGATGCTGGTAAAGATAACAGTTCGCAGCTGACAGAAAGACAGCTCTCTAAGGATGCGGAACAAATAGGCACAGCTGGGGAGCCTGGAGTGAAACTCCCTCTTGAGCCAATGGTAGATGCTTTGATTTTAACAGATGCGGATTATATGCCGACTGATTTGGTTCCTACTGAGAAAGATGTGCAAGCTGATAGAAATCTGCTCAGATCAAAACATGCTGCGGGCTCCTCAGAAATTGCTAGTGGCCAGCTTGGAACTAGTGATTTAAAGCATCAGCAGAAACAGGCTGATAATGATGATGAAAAATCTTTGTGGGACAGAACTGCATCAAATGTACGCTCGGGGTGTAATAAAGCGTCTGAGCATGAGAGCGCTGCCCATTCACGAGTATGCAAGGAGACACAGAGAACAGCAGGATGGGAGGAGAAGGTAAATAATGAAGAACAAGAAGATTTATTTCTCAGATTTTTAAATGGTAACATAATAGACACTGAAGAATCATTTGCAAACTTAGCAAACCAAGAGGATTTTGACACTGTTCCAGATATTTCACCTGAACGTGCATCTTACAACTCACTGGAAGCTTTATCACTAGATGACAGGTTTTCTTCTCTCGATGAACTTGCAAGAAGGATAGAGATTGCTGAGGTAAGTACTGTGAATCCTGTAAGATCTTCCATTTTTATCTCAATTGAAGTATTTTAGATACTGCCAACTTCAAAATGTGTTAAATGTTCCCTCATATATGTTTGCCTCCTCCTTGACCAGCAGTACACTGTGTTTCTAAAAATTAGGTTGATTTTTACATATGAATGTGATCACCTATTTTATTCTGACAGAGACTGTTAGGAGATGGCCTGACAATTCCTGCTAAATCACAGTTCCACATCAGAGAGCTACATAATGCCTATGAAGTTAAATGTGTCTTGTTTCTATTCATAGAATAAAATCTGCTTTTCAGTGCCTATTCTGTATAGGTGAGAACTACATAGGTAATAAACACTGTATGTGAATGTGTGGGCTTCTAGTTTTGCCAAGTTTGGGCAGTTTTGTTTTCAAACAAAACTCAAAGAACTTCAAGCCTGAACCCACCTTTCTGAAGCACTGCTGATAGGCCACAAGTAGAAGTGCTTCATAAGCGAAATTGCTCTTCTAAAATATAAAAGATTTATTGCTTTGGGACTTTTTTTGGAGAGTGTGATGACATCTTTGCTTTATTTGTCTTCTGGTTCCGGTGCATTTGCCATTGTGGGACCTTAAAAGCTTTTTCTTTAAATGAAAAATGAGATTATTGTGAAATGATGTAATTCCAGATGCTGGAGGGGAAGATTGGTAAAAAGGTATTTTCTTAGTTCATGTCTATTTTTAATGCATTTTACAGTACAACATCCCTTGGCAGCAAAGTAGCAGTACTTCTCTATAGAGCAGCTAATGCACAGAGACCAAGAACCCACGATCACTTAAGGAAAGCAGCCAAGCAGGGAATTAAATACTGGGGATCCATGCTGTGGTTATTACATTTTTGGCAAAATCTCCAAAGCTGAAAACAGAGCATTTTGTTTTTTCTCCCCACCTAAAGAGTTTCTTGGCTCCTTTCCAACGTTGTTCATCCTGACCTGTCCCTAAAACACCTTGTCTTTCTGTGGGATGTCAGGAAGTGTGTCACATACCAGGACCGAGGGACATGAGCGCAAAGCTGTGCACAAGCTCTTGACGACACGCAGATGGGGAAACCCACAGACCTGTTCATACATGCAATCAAACTTTGGCACTAAACCCATTGGTTTGTGTTCACTTAGAGGATGGCTTTGAAAAAGCGTTTTATTGACAGTCTGTGCTAAGCCCATATACCTGTATAATGAAGAGTAATTCAATTATCATCCCACAGGATTCGATTTCTTTTGAGCCCACTGAAAGTTCAGCATTTTAAGCTACAGGAGAGAACTGTTCTGTTTCACGTAGAAAAATCCTAAGTTAATGCTACAGCAAGTACTTCTAAATTGCTATATTTGTGCCATTTGCATTTTAGAGGATGGGATAGGAAGTAGCATATTGATACTGTTAGAAAAATTATGTTTGTATTGATAGGTCCAGTTTTACAGGGAATCTAGTTTCATTTCTAGTTTGCTACTGCGATGCTAGGGCTGCCAGTATTCTGATGGCCAAATGAATCTCTGGAAAGGAAAAAGAAAGTACCATGAGATTTTCCATAGTACTTTTTCTGGCCATATAAGGCATAATGTTGGCTGGCACTGGTGGGATTCTTTTGGAATTGTTCTTAGCAAGAGGTCAGAGTTGTGTCTGAGGCAGGGGGTTTAAATCAGGGAGAGAAAAGAAGGATTAATCTCTACAGATTAAAATTTCTAATATGCAGCATCTGTTTTGCAACACCTGAAATATCTGGGTGCAGCAGGGTGAGTTAAGGACAGCACAGCAGCTTGTATTCTTTCATTATACACTTAAATTTGGTTTTCTCTTTAATCTTGCTGCCTAGCATTACCTTAGTGGTTGCTTTTTGGAAGTTGTGCACTGCGTTTCACTGTGTTCAGTGCACCGTCTCTCTGATTACAGCATGTATCAGTGCATTTTACAAGCTTGTAGCGTGAAGCAAGTTTAGGGGCATAAGTTACGAAGTCACTGGTTTTCTGCTTTCTGCAGCTCTGATAATTGCAGTGCAAACAAATGTTTATGCATTGACTTCTAACTTGATTAAGTTATGGTGGGAGTTATGCAGTCAGCTGTCTGCGACTACAGTGTCATCTGGAAAGTTGCTTTTTTTCCACTTCAAGTTTTTTGTGAAGATTGTAGGCATTTGGCATCATCTCCTACACAGATGAGTTGTGAACTCGGGTCCTGAAAGAACTGGCGGA